AACCAGAGCTTGATCCTTCTTGATAAACAAGGAGGACAATCCCTCTTTTAGCTAAAGCTATATCCTCACTTTCACGGGATTTAATGCCCCGATAGCCTTTTATTCACATGCAGTTTATGCCACTAATCTATCTAGATTGAGTCGACGACTAAAATCGGCAGCAAACGCTCAAATTTTAGATTTAAAATTGCCCCACCAGGCATTCCCCACAACCGCCTCTGGCCAATTCCTTTTGTAATATAGTAACAGCTGGTCCCGGAAACCCTGATCACCAAAAAGTGAACAGTTCAATTTCCAGTAGCCAGCCAATCTAACCTTAGGCTTATCTAAGTTTATACGAACCCGGACAAGCCTATGATCCGTATAAACTATATAATGGAAACTTGGACACCCTAAGAGCCCTACATCGACTCTTTAACTAAGATTCGGTCCAGGTAGCTCGCGGTGGCGACCAAGGAGCCGAGTTGCCACTATTTGTCCAAGTCCATGCTACCTCCCCGAGGGTGTTCATTCCGGAACTTATCAACAAGATCAAACCATCGATAAAATCCCGAAATGGTTTCACATCCGGGTTGTTAGTACCTTGTTTGTGTCCTATACGATCTATATCGGGGTCAAGGACGGCATTCCAATCACCCCTAAAACTACCCCACGAGGCGTCGTCAAAACGGGCGCGATCTGCGAAACAAAGCAGGCCGCTCGGAATGGTATTGGGCGATAAACCTCAATGAGACGAAACCTTATTTTATGGTAATATCCAGCACGCAAAGTCTGCCCGCCAGATCCACGAAGACAAAGGTACAAGCAGTCTTCAAAGACTTGCTCACTAGCCAAGAGACACCCCTCGAACAACCATCAAAACATGCTGAATAAAGGGCGAACCCCTTAGACAGTATATCCTCACGATCATGAGAACAAAACCGGGTCTCTTGTATACAACATACATTCACCCCGAGGCGCTTGAAGGTCTGAGAGAGCCTCGCCATATGAGACTCGGACCTCGGGCCCCGAACATTCAAACTAGCTAACCAAAGTGCCATTGTGAAGCTGATTAGGGTTGTCCTTCAGGATAGAACATGGCTGGGGCGAGGACACCGACAGCCTGTCCCATCGAACCAGACATCATCTCAGTATTGAGCGTATCATCCTGAGACAAGCCGCCGATGTCCACAGGATAAGTTAGCTTAAGGGCTCTATAAAGGGAAGGGTGAACAAAAAGAGGGACCCTCCCTTTACATTGCTTTGTTTCATCCAGGTTTTCTTCAATAAGGATGGCAGATGGGGGCACAACTTTCAAGGACGCCAGTGCCTCCTCTATCATGCCCCAAATCTCCCGCGTACCTGGGCCAGTTCTTACGACGGTTAGCAGATTTCAGGCCTTCTTGAAATTCTCTGGTACCTCCACATCCACACCATTAATGTGCCGGAAATTCCACAAAATTTTTAAGGGCTTCGGGTTTTTCGTTTGCCTGTTCCTTTCAGCCTGTTCCCGGGATACGTGGCAGACGTCTTCCCCTAGGAGATACAGTGGCTTAATTTTCTTTTTTTTCTTATCAGTAGCTGGTGGAGTATCAGGACTTCTATTTCTTTTCTTCAGAGGTGATTGAAAGGGTGTTTGCATCGGAGTATCTCTTGGAGTGGTTGATGGTGTCATGTCGGAAGGTGTCTTTACAGGGGAAGGTTTAGAGGAACGAAAAGATTTCACGGGAGAGTTTGTCAATGATTTTGGCGGAGGTGGTTTAGTAAATTTAGTTTTAGCTGAAGAAGGGGAAGACGGGGCAGATGATGGGGCCCGGTATTTTTTTTTTTTTTTTTTTTTTTTTTTCTTTACCCCACTTGGACTCCAACTTTTCCTTCAATTTTTTGAGATCCAATATTTTCTGCCAGCTTTCTGGGTTTCACTGGCGTCTTTTTTATAAGACGCCGCGGCGTCTCCCTCAGAGCTGGTAGAGGGAATAGGGCTGTAGGTGACATTGTCCCTGGGGTCATGATGGGACTGAGGAACCGCTGTTTGGGTCTTCCCCTTGCCCCTAACTATGAGGCGCCATTCCCCCTCATCCTTCTCCTTATCCATACTAGTGGCAGGCGTCAGTTTTGTGAGTAATGTGGGTCTGGACCCAACTGAGGGATTTTCCTCACCAGTCCGCCTCGCAGCTAGGCCCACTACAGGCGCTGCGGATTTTACCTTTCCGCCAAGGGGAATTTTGGTCGCCTCACCAGAACTCCAGGGCCTTCTTCCCTGGGCAGGAGGAGGAAAGGTGACCAGTCTCTCCACACCTCCAGCAAGTTGGTCTCCTACCAGTCACTATGACCGGCATTTTCCGGTTGCCAAACACCAAACAGTTGGGGACGGACTTGAAGGCCTTCTGATTGAGCATTATATCAAAAGTCCATCCCCCGTTCAAATTATCAGAGAGAGCCCCTAAAATTTGGCTGAACTGCATGAAAAATGCAGCCAGGAGCTCTCCCGAAATTTGAGGAGGAACCTCAAAAATGCCCACCCTGGTCCTCCTGTGGCCTTCGTATTTGGTTCTTAAAATTAGGTCTTTCGTGATTAATTCTTTTTTTGCCATGGCCAGGCAATCTTCTGGTGTGGGTAACAGAATGTCCCACATGAAGAACCCAGTACCCTTAATTACTCTTTGGGATTTATCCCCAGGGACAAAAGTGATTTAATCACTACGTCTTTTGTGGAGCGACAAATCTTACATGTTTTCTTGTCCACCACAAAAACGGTCACCATTCTTTTTGCGAACACATAGAGTTCTTCGACATCTTTGACGAACCCATCTTTATTTACAAGATGGGCATACTCTTTCGCCTTATCCAAGAAATCTGCCATGTTCAAAATACAACTTGGGGGGGATTTCCAGCAGGAGGGCAATTCCTCAGCAGTCTTACTTTGTGCCTCCTTTGGAACTTCGTCAATTTTGGTAGTATCTCCTTTCTTGGAGCTACTATCATGGTCTGATTTTGGGCTATCATCAGCCCGCTTTTTTGCTGATTTATCAGTGGGTCGGCTTTAGCACCCGTCCCAAAAGGTCTTTTTTTCACATTAGGCCAACTGGCACCGTGGCCATATTGAAATAAAAGTGAAGACTACCACCTGCGGGTCTCTGAATTTAAGTCCAAATTTGGGGAAAGGAGTTGGGAGAGAAAAAAAAAAAGGAAATTATACAAAAAGGCCTGGATGCACCAGTAAATAAAAAATAGCAAAGACAATAAAATAAACTGGAAAAACTAAAAGAAAAATAAACGACAAACTTGATCAACAGAAAGAAATAAATAGACAGGTAAAAAAAATAATGGCACCCAAAGGCTGCGGAAAATAAAAGAAAAAAAACAAAAACAGAAACTCCTCTATTTTTTTTTTTCAAAAATTCAAAAAATATACAAAAAGAAAAAGAAAAGAAAATGTCTGGTTTACAACCAGAAAAGAAAAATAAAGGTTTGCGGCCGAAGCCGCTAAAGAAAATAAATTAAAAGCAAAAAAAAAAAAACAGCAAACTAGTCAAAAGAAAGCGACCGAAGTCACTAAGAAAAGAAGGAGGGTATAAAATAAAAAGGAAAAAGTAAGCTTTCTTTTTCTTTTTTCTTAAACTGTACTAATACTGAAAAGAAATAAACAAAAATAAAAAAGCAGTCGTCCGGTAAGACTTTGTCAAAAAGGACTAAAAAAATAAAAAATGTGGGCCGAAGCCCAAAAACAAATTGAAACAAACAAAAGAAATGGAAAAAATTAAAAGAATAAAACTTAAACAATAACTTAACAGAAAAGACTTGGTGTATCAATAAAGTTCGCCCAAAAAAGTAGATAAAGCACAGAAGCAAATCCTCGTGGATCAGAACAGGCTCGCCACACAGCAGCACAAAAAATCAACAAAGCCCAAACGCTACCGGTCAGAAAAAAGTCACGCTCAACACCATTCTGCCAGACTTGCCACTGCTACTCCTACTTATTATCTATGGGAGAGTCCATTACAATAGAATAGGTACTATGGCATAACACTAACCAACTCAAATAAAAAGGTCTGTTTCCAAAAGTAAATATTTTAAAAGTGAATTAATTAAATTGACCTTTTACATCACACCACAATTAACTAAAAACAAACCAAAAAAAACTCAATCATTAAGAAGCTTGTTCTAACTTCAATAATAGCCCAAATGATTAAACTTGTTGGAGGCATCAAATTAATGTAAAAGTCTAAAGAAATATTTTAAAAAAATAAAAAGTAAAGACAAATTAAGATTCAGTTGTTTCTGTCAATTATGAAAACAAAAACATAAACTTTTATTATTTGTAAATGAAATGACACTGGTGTATATATATATATATATATATATATACTAACTGACACTGAGATGCAAACTCACACAAAGATCTTGTGGTGGATAGAAACCCAACAGACAAAGCTTAAACTTTCATAGACTGTAGTAGCAACTTATTTACCTACAAAATTTAAATCTTTATCTTTGAAGAAGTACAAAAGAAAAAATTCTGACACCATCTTATTTCAGTATTAACTCCTTAAAAAAAAAGAAAAGAAATACACCCACCACCACCAAACACACACTCACAGGCAGCCTTTCAAATTTTACAACTTCAATATTTTTTAGGAGTGGCAGAAGTAGGGAATTATCACTCTTTTGTTTGTATAAAATAGAGCAGTTCCTGATCCCACATTCCTCTCTTTGGCTCTATCAAAAATGAGTGTATTCCAGGAGTTAAAGCCCTGTAAATTAGTGTGTAATAAGTGCTTAAATTTTCATTAAATTCCTCTGGAAATAATCAATGAAATAATATATTTGTTGGAAATGATAGTGTTTTTGGTTAGATTTTTGAAATTATGTATCTCCTATATTCCATTGAAACTACACATCATGCATATAACTGGGATTCTCAGTTTTTTGTTTTTTCACTTTTAGTTGACCAAGCTGATCCTTATGCTTATGTAGCAGGACAACACTTTAATGATGTGATAAAACGTTTTGGTTCACCCATGATTGTTCTTAATTTAGTCAAGGTGAGTTTGTTATAGAATTTTTTCCAAGAACAATTTCTACTGATCAGTATCTTGTAAACTTTACATTTATAATCATTTCTCTTTAAAAATTTCTTAATAAGGATAACTCAAAGAATTCACACACTATTGTTCAGCCAGTGTATGTTACAACAGCTGTAGAATGGTGTTGGTAAATCTATAAGAACAAGTTTAATCTAGGTTTTTTATTTTTCATTAATGTATGTAATTTTTGAAGGAAAAATTATTTTTCCTTCATGTGTATATTTTTAGGATATGTAGTGTAATGAATAATGGCTTGGAATAAGAAAACAGAGAGCCAAGTTTGAAATTCAGTCAAGTTACATTCACTTCCATGCAAATACCCTTAAGAAAAGTATAAATCCATCTCTTCTCCCTCTCAATGTAGGTTGAATAGCAGTACAGACTGGGCCTTGGTTGACATCTAGCCTACCACAGAATGAAATGGAAGCATACTGTGGGAAATCTGCCTAGTCATGAATTTAAAGAGACATGATTGCCCAAAAATATATCATGTATGACACTTGATTTTTTTTTTTTTTTTTTATGCAGTTATAGTTTTGTGGTCTTAGCTCACTTCATTGCATATTACAGACAAGCTTCATAGTTTTCTAAGTTATACCTCCTTGTTTCTTTATAGTTTTTGCTAAATATACTCATAATGTGTGTGTGCATGTGGACTATGCTATGAAGCCAAATATCTTTCATTATTTGAGTGATATTGCATACCACATCTAAAAAAAAGATGAGAACTAAAACTTCATACACAAGGGGAATTATGCTGAATGAGTTTTTACTAACAAATATGAAGTTACTCAAAGAAAAAAGAAAAATTAAATTCAATAGTGGATTTTTTTTTTTTTTTTAGCACAAAATTTTCAGCTGGTTGATTCTTATGTGTTGCACCCATTGTATAACTTTTTAAAACTATTTACCAGATGCCACTATATGTAAGAAACTAATGGTAATTTATATTTTCAACAGGTTTTGTGAATAGTTTGTTGTTGCATTGTAGAATGTCAAATGAATAATCAAACTTTTTTAAGCATATAATTACATTTTTGCAGATGCGAGAGAAGCGCCGTCATGAAAGTATTTTAACAAAGGAATTTAGCAGTGCTATCAGTTACCTCAATCAGTTTCTACCTCCAATCCATAACATCCAATATATTGGCTTTGACATGGCTGGTGTGAGCAAAAAGTAAGTTACTGTAATTTCTTCATTTCTTTAGGAAATCATTTCTACATTTGCTGTAGACATAATTAAAAACAAAATTTATCAACTTGAAATTTTTTGTACACATTATTCCTGCCATTTTATCCATGCACAGAGATATTATTAATTAAAACTAATGTTTGCTAAAATAAATTAATTAAATTGATCTTCTACTTTTATAATCATTATTACTATATATGCTGTAGACATAATTTAAAACAAAATTTATCAACTTGAAATTTTCCATACACACTTGTGACTCCCTACTAAATTAAATGACATAACCATACAATAATTTAGATTAGTAAAGCTTGAACAGTTAAATGACAGTTTATAAAATGTTAAAAAATTTCCAATTGTAAAAAATTATTTTAAAAAAATTTTATTTATTTTAAATGCTAATTTCTTTAATAGAATTTTATTTGAAATGTATTTTTTTATGACGACAAAATATCCTAAATTGAATTTCTTCATTTTTTTTCTTGAAAGTCATTTTTATTTTTTATTTTTTTTAATTTAAAAAAAAAACAATTTTTCAGATTGTTGATTCTTTAAATTTTATTTTATATATTTAAAAAGAAAATTGTTTTCAGTTGTGTTTATTTTTGTTCATTTTTTATTCTTAATTCCTATGAAAATATAAATATAAGTATGAAATACACCAATGTGCCAAGTCATGGAATAACAATATATAAATATGCCACCACCATACCTTGACATCATGGAAATGCCCAGACCTATATCAGTTGTGCTTTGTCATAGCAAGATGATGTGAACTATTAGAGGTTGAACAGACATGATAGTGTGTGCCAGATGGACGGGACATTTTCTTTCCGAAATTGTGGAATTTGACATCCCTTGATTTATGATGTCATATATTAGCAGGAATAACTAGTGGAAGTCATTACTGTTACTGCTTACTGTGATGAACAGTGCAGTAGCTGTCCCAGGGTCTTTAATAATCATGACCAGAGGTATCTGATTACAATTAATTGGAATAACAGACAAGTAACACTGGCTTAAATTACATGCACATTGAATGCAGGACATACAAGACACATATCTAGCACATACAAGACACATATCTAGCAAGTCAGTTCAATATTTTTTAACTTCCATGGAGTATGGGGGCACTAGATCAACTAGGGTGCTCCTGTTGACGACATAATACCAGATATAGCACCTTATTTGGTTTTGTCATGTTACAAATTGGATCCTGCGGTAACTGGCAATGTGTGGCATGATCTAATAAGTCACAGTTCCTGTTGTTTTAGATTGATGGTAAGGTTTGGGTGTGGCACAGACACAATCAGGCTATTGACCCCCAGTTGTTAACAGGGTACTGTGCAGGTTAGTTATGGTTTTGTAAGGGTATGGAGATGTGTTGACTCCACTGGTCACCTTAAACCCAATATCCTTTGTGTCCATTTGATCAATTCATTGACATCACTCTATGTTCTCCAACAATAACAGGATTAAGCATCATGTCATCAGGTTCACATTGCCATGAACTGATGTGAAGAGCATTCAGGAGACTTTTGATGAATAGTGTAGCCATCATGTTTGTCTGACAATCACACATTGATGAAACGTGGTGGAGATGTCTATTTGAGCATAAGATCTTGCAACAACAAATATCTGGGAGTTGTGGACAGTTATCTAAAAACATTGCAAAATATTTCTCCAGAAGTCTTTCAACCACTTGTGGAATCATTACCATGTTGAGTTACTGTACTTCACCAGGGTGGTTCCTAAACGATGTTATAACACTGTCCAGTCAGTCGATGAGCTAAAGGGCTCACTGAGTATCTGATAATCACCATCAATATCGGATTTCTTCCATCAACCATTAGTTGCAGTGACTTTTACAGTTGTCAAAACGTCCAGTCAAATGCCCATATTGTGATTGATTTCAAATGACCAGAAATCTGCTGCAGGAGTTGGTATACCATGGCTAATGGTGGCTTTGATTGTTATATAATGAAGGAGATAACAACTCTTTTTCAACTTTAACAAATACAAGGTAATACGAGAAAAAAAATAGAAGATTCAAAAAGCCATGGGAGTGATGGATAATTATACCTTAAGACTTGGGTTCTTAGTTGGTCACTCTGGGCATCTAATTGTTGGTTTTAGGTTGGTACATGATCATGGGTTCTGGAGGTAGCCTACTCAGTTCTTAGGCACATTCTGATTCAAATCTAAGTGATAACTCTTTCTTGGGGTTCTTCTGTGGATTCTGCTGAACTACTCTGCTCGACCTGTGGCCCTGTTCTCACTGAAATCCTCAAAATGCACAGTTTAAATAATACTTCACCCAGAACTGGGTGGGGGTTTTACTGGCATAGAAATATCAACCATTCCTTTTGTCTCAACTGAGATTTTCCAATTTTGGGCAATTATCAAGCCCCTTAGTGGTAGTGAGAGGGTTAATCCACCCATCAAACCCTAATTTGCCTTCTTTGGCATCTCTGACTTTCACTCATAGCTGCCACCTCCGCTTCTTTCTCCAACTTCCTCAGAAACAACTCTCTTTGGAGTGTCACTTGATCCAGTTGGCCAATCCCTTTCTAAGGAGTTTTCTGAACCTTAACTAAAAGCTAACCATCTCAACTATAATAAAAAGGTTCTTCACCAACTTTAAATTTTAGGTGAATTCAATTTATGGAAAAAATCATCTCTTGAAAAAATTATTATCATTCGGTTTATGCTGGACACCACCAAAAGCATCAAGAAATGGCTATATGGATTTATTTTATGGAAAAATCAAATCTCCAGAAAAAGATAAAAAATATTTAGAGTCTGTCTATATTTCTGAGATGAGGTATTATGTACATTATTTACATTATTCGGACTATTGTCCTCATCTTTGTCGTATATTTATCACATTATTTCACCGTTTACGCTAAGGCCTTCTTCAGGTGGTTGGAATGTCAAACTGAACCCTTTATTTCGCTCACTGGGGTAGACTGTTCTAGTTCCACGTGCCATGTTTAATGGATGTCAGCTATCAGTTATCTCCTGTTAATTTTCCGGAAAAAAAGTTTCCACTGCCTTAACCGGGTATTGAACTCACACTCTCATGTTGAGATCATAGACAGGGAACACCATTGGAAAATTTGTAAACAAGGAATCAGCACATATGCTAGGCCACAAAAATCTCCTGAGCCAACCAAGCATAGAAATAAATACAATATGGGAACCAGTTATAAGGAGTGTCAGAGAAAAGCATTGATAACAACAAAGTTGCAATATGAGCTCTGGTAAAAACATGCAATGATAACAGCAAAATTGCACTGGTAAAAATGGTTGCTGAAGACATTGGGTTTATAATACCCAGAAATTCATACCCAGATGTCCTCAGTGGATAAAGGCATTAGATCCAGTGACAAAACCCAAAGAGTGTGAGTTCAATACCCGGTTAAGGCAGTGGAGAACTTTCAGAGGGAAAATTAACAGGAGATAACTGATAGCTGACATCCATCAAACATGGCATGTGGAACTAGAACAGGATTAGAATAAAGGGTTCAGTTCGACATTCCAACCACCTGAAGAAGGCAGGAGCATACAACGGCTGAAACATTGTGATAAATATGGCGATAAAGATGAGGACAATAGTTCGAATAATGTAAATAATGTAAAAAATATTTAATTCTCTTTTCTTTCAGGCTACATGCGACGCTTCCTCTAATCATTATCAAGTGAAAGATTATTATCCAAATCAGCATTTTGTTTTAAGCCTGAACAAAATAGATGTTTTTCATCAGTCTTGTCCACCCAAAATTGCTTAATAAAAAACGACTCTCTGACTGGTCAGAAGTTACTTTCAGCAGAGTGTTAATATCCACTTAGAAATCTATGTCCGTTGTCTATATCCATTACAATTTTATCTCAACCAGTTGGTTTAAGGCCGGAACACTTCACTCAAGATTTAAATGTTAAATCTCAACCTGAGATAAATGTTTTCTAGTTCAGCCCATCCACCTGCAGCCTAATATAAGCCACCAGAAGTTTTAATGTGTTATTGTGGTTTTATTCTTTTTAAAAATTGGTAATTGTTGTTTGAAAGTGTATTAACATTTTTTCTAATTTGAAGATATTTTTCTATAGAGAATATTTTTCTTCAACTATAGGAAAGATTCTAATGTGATGGAGAGGCTAGGTAAAATTGCAAAATATTGCATCAAACGTACAGGTTTCTATTTTCATTCTCCTCAAGGATCACAGGATGAACTCTGGAAATCTGATCAGTAAGTTTTATAACTTTTTGCTATATTTTTAATTGACTTCTTTATGAAATAGTAGAATTAGACAGAATTGACAGTAATAAAGAATTAGATTTATAGGTTCAAAAAAGCTTGACAAATGATATAATTTATTTATTTCTACCTCCTGTAGGTATGTTTATGAGATCGATAAAAAAAATTGCATACCATGAATAAAAAAGGCCTTAAACTTGATGAAAATAATTTTTTATCATCTAAATGTTAATGTTATTATCAAGAGGAAAGATCAAAGTATTTTTTTACATTTTTTAATAATTTCTAGCACGTCCAAAATTTTCGTTAAAAATCTTCAATTTTTTTGAATAAGAAAAATTGACAGAAAATTGATCGTCAGCCATTTTTTAATTTTTTTAAAAAAAGTGAATGTTGCCGTTTAAAATTCATTTAAAAAATCAATTATGATTTTTAAAAAAAATATTTTAAAAATTAGAAATTATAAAGTTTATTTAATATATTTTGAAACAAAGATTGCTTATTTTCTGTGTTGAAAACATGTTCTTTCAAATGGGAGAAATGACGTGCGTGATTTCATCATGCACTGACATGTTACGTGCGGAAATTTATAGTACGGAAGGTCATAAGTGACAATTTATCTTTACATTAACAACTTATTTATCTCGTTATTTTTAAGTAGGCATAGCATGAAAAAAACGGCCTTAAACTTGACGAAAGCAGAATTTTATTACCAAAATGTTTATGTTACTATTAAGGGAAAAGAACAAAGTAATTTTTAATTATTTTTTTTAAAAATTTTCTGTCTTTATTAGAACATTTTAACTTTTGATTGAAAAATCTTGTTTCTCGTCATCACCGGAACTCTAGTAAATGGCAAATATTTTGTTCATTTTTTTTCTTATGACACACATTAATTTTGAAAATCTTGCAAAAATAGAAATAATTGTCAGATTTTAATGAAAGTTTCAGGAATGATGGAAATTATTATAATTTTTTAAAGTAATTTTATAAAAGCCATTAACAGTGCCGTACAAATCAAGGCACGTGATGTTTTTATTGTATCATATTTCTTCTGGGCCTCTGTACATTTGATTTAACATTTTTTTTTTTTTTGACACATAGGGCAAAGAACAGTAAGATTATTCTCATTGCTGGTTCGTTGATTGTAAAAACCTTGTGCTATTTAGAATCTGTACAGATACATGTACCAAAAAAAAAAAATTATATAAAGGATTGAACAGTACCGCTAATTTTAGAATATTTAACAACTTTTTAGTAACTTTATGTAAAAAATAATAAAATAATTTATGAAATAACAATTAATTCATTTAAAAATTCATTTTCATCGAAAAAAGTTTTTTGCCTTCAGACAATATTATGTATATTGATAAAAACAAACAAAAGCAACTAAAAGCATTTAAAATTAAATAGAATCTTTGTTTTATTGGGTTTTACTTTTGTATGTTACAATTCAGAGCTGATTTTAGGTTTACGAGGGCAGATTTTAAAAAAAACAAAACATGATTTACTTTCCTCAAAGCCTTGTGTTTTTAACTAATAACTTGCGTGCTTCGAACATAAATTTTTAGAGTTTTTAATTTATTTATGGGGGGGTAATATATATATAAAAAAATATATTTTTATAATGACTTTTTAAAAAAATTACATATTTATAATAATTTCCTTCACTCCTGAATAGTTTCTGAAAGTTTCATTAAAATCTGACAATTATTTCTATTTTTGCAAGATTTTCAAAATTAATGTGTCATAAGAAAAAAATACACAAAAAATTCGCCATGTTATTTTTACTAGAGTTCCGGTGATGACGAGAAACAAGGTTTTCAATCGAAAGTTAGAATGTTGTAATAAAGACAGAAAAATTTTTAAAATAAAAAAAAAATTACTTTGTTCTTTTCCTCTTAATAGTAACATAAACATTTTAAACGATAAAATTTTGTTTTTCGTCAAGTTTGACATCTTTTTCATCAGACTATGCGCTTTTTTTAGTGATCTCATGGAGATTTTACAACGGAATGAAAGAATCAAAAGTGGGACATTTTCTTTTTATCAAGTTCTGTATTTCTCTTAATTCTTTCTTCTGAATTATAATGTGATTTTTTTTTTATTTTCTTGAATGTAATTTAGTGGGATATGTGGAAAAGTGTTAATTTATACATATTATCTTACAATTCACAATTATTAGTTACAAATTCTACTAAAGTTTTATTTTCAGTAAACCATGAATTTTCTGTATTATAAATATTTTTAACATTATTAGAAAATACTTTGATGAAAACTGTTGGTGAGATTTGTATGACTTTTTGTAAAGTTTCTTATTTGCATTGATTTATAGTTTAATTGCCTTCAATTATTTCATTTTAAAGACCATAAGCTAATAAATATTACAGTTTTCATTGTCCTAGATCGACCACATCTCACGTTAAATTAGTCAAGAATTTTCATATTGCCAGTCAAAATAATTCTCCTAGAAACGTATTTACCTAATTTCATTTGCTCTTTAAGTATCCCTTTCTCTTACTCTTGTTATCCTTCTATTGAAAACTATTTGTACATTTCTGAATTTCAAACATGGTTTTATTCAGGTGTTCTAGAAAAAACATTTTTTTTATTTGTTACTTCTAAAGTCTGAATTGCGATTTTTTTTGTGATATCACCTCTTTAAATACTTTAACAATATTAGTTTTTTGACATAACATTTAATTGCAATTGTAAGTTTTTAAAATACAAATAAATTTGTTTTTATTGTATTGTTTTGGACTTAATTTTGGCTTTTATTTTTAGATTTAGATAACTTCTATTAAGAAGCCTTCATATTTATATAAAATTAACCTATTTATTAAGATGTTAAGAAACCTAATATTATGTTGCTATTTTCTTTTACAAGTTTAAAAGGAATCCAAGGAGTTAAAACTAGTTATGGCAAGTGTCAAACTGGAGTAATAAGAACCAACTGTGTCGATTGTCTTGACCGAACAAATACTGCTCAGTTTGCTGTTGGAAAATGTGCCCTTGGTTATCAGGTAATATTTTATAGTTATCATTATAAAATATATTGTCAAAAACATTTTTACAAAATTAATTTTTTAAACTAATTACTTTTAACAGGTTTATAGAAAAAGCCTTCAATTTTGAAATTCATCCTTGAGAAAAATTAGGGAAACATGAATTGTGAAAGTGAAATATATAAAATTTTAATATAGATTTGAATGTAGAAGAATTAATCATTATTTGATTTTTGTTATTCTATGGTCACTCATGGCTGTCTACAATTTCCTGTCTTCTTAGCAAATTTTGTCTTCACTATCTCTCCTAATCTCTGTTCTGTCATTCATTTACACAAGCTTGTTAGGTAGGTTATTCCCATCTTTCCTCTGCCTCTCTTGCCTTGTTAGTGTCAAATTTTCTAAGACCTCTTTCCTCATTATGTGCCCTATAAATTTCAACAGTCTCTTTCTGATGTTAAGTATAAGTGTCCTTTTTGTTTCCATTTTCTCTAAAACTTTGTTATTACTAACATATTTAGTCCATAGTATTCTCAGCATTCTTCTGTAGACCCACATTTCTGTTTCCTGAAATCTCTTTATCTGTGAGGAGATTGTCCAGCATTCACTGCCATTTAGGAGGAATGACAGTTAAGTACTCTTTTCTTTGTTTCTAACAAAATTTTCCTGTTTCTTAATACTTTGCTTAGCTTTTGGAAAGCACTTTCACTATCCCTTTAGATTTTGGTGTTGCATTCTCTGTCCTCTGTTAAAACACATTTAGATATTTAAATTCTTGAACATGCTTGATTTTGGTATCTCCAATTTGTAATTTGCGTGTTTCCTTTCTGTATGTACTATCAACACTGTGTAATTTCCTTTCTGTATGTACTATCAACACTGTATAATTTCCTTTCTGTATGTACTATCAACACTGTCATCTGCATATCTAATGTTGTGGCCACTAATAACAAATCTTGGTAGGAATTCTAATTCTCTCAGAATCACCTCTGTAAAGGTTAAATAAGTCTGGTGAGAAGATGCATTCTTGTCTTACACCCTCTTCCATTTTTGTATATTTATTGAATTCATTTTCCAGCCATATGCAGATGATTTGCTCCCCCTATAAATTCTGGATTATTCTAAAATTCTTCACAAATACATCAATCTTACCTAGCAGTTGCAATAGTTCTTTATCAAACACTTTTATATAATCTATAAAACATAGATTTGCGTTTGTATTGCTCAATTCTAATATTATCCTGAACATAAATATCACCTGCCTTTGTTCCAATGTCTTTAAAACCCCACTGTTCTTGTCCTATTTCTGGTCTAATTCTGCTGCATGCTCTTTTCATCAGAATTTTTATGATAATTTCTGTTATGTAGCTCATTAGGCTGATTGTTCAATGGTGTTCACATTCATATACATCTGGTTTATAAAGCAGCACAATGAAAATAAATCTGCTTAGGTCTTCCAGTATATTATGCGATTGAGCAATCCCATTATTGAATTAAGTAGACCATGTGACCATAGATGAAACACACAAGTTGGAAGTTGCATGACATCTAAATGATTGCATTTATATTCTATCCTCTATTACTATTCAGATCACTATTTCTAGTCTATACTCTATACTATACAGATCGCTATTCTCTACTCTATTCGCTATACTGTTTCTCTATTTGGATCACTATTTGGTGATTATTTGTCAAGCAAGTATTATGGAGCAAGTACTATTAGTGCAAGTGCTATTCAAAGGCATCTGACACCTGTATAGTTCAATGGCGTACTATAGTTGAATCTGCAATTACAAAGTCTCTACTACAATGAGTATTACAAAAGTGATGATGAGTATTCATTGGCATCACTAAAGTGGCAATGAGTGTTTGTTGATATTGCAAAACATTTTGTGCCATACCGTCACATTGTATTTGCCTTCTTTTCCTCATGTCAAGAATTTCATGTCATCCATTTTTTGTCTAGTTTTGAGTACTTAAAATATTTTTAATAACTCGCATCTTTTTGAAAACATTTTGCTTCATCCAAAATTGTTTCATAGTTGTAAAAACATTTCACTTTAGTGCAAAAATGATCCTTATTTCAACCAAGATTATTATATTTATGTATAGTTTGTTCAATATACTTTAACATGATAGCAAGGAAAGGTAACGTTTGTTTCTGTTTCATAATTAAATTTGATTGTATGTTAGATGTTGTTTAGTTTATTTACATGATCAGGCAATATTGTTTTGTAGGGGTATATTAATAAAGCATTACCAATATACTGAAAATATGTTGATTCTTTAAGTAAAAGATTTTGGAAAGTTTCTAGAAATTTAAAAAAAGACAAGCTACAAAGCCACTAAGAGGTGTTATTAATGATAATCTGAATTTCTATCTATAAAAATTATTAGCAAAAGTAAAATAACATCAAATAATGAAATAACCTAGGTTTGTATAAGTGTAGTTCTTACATATATATTTTATAATTAATTTTAAGATTGAATGAAAATTTTAATGAAAGCAAAAAATGTAAAAAGTTCTATTTCTAATAAGTTTATAAAATTGTTTAGATTACTTACAAACATTGTCATCAGATTATTTGTATACAATTTCTACTGTAGCACAATAGGCCACCTGCCCCTCCAGTTAAATTTTACAAATTGATAATAATAATTACCAATAATTAAATTAATAAGTAATTAACCACAAAATAACTTTCTTGAGTTATTATCTAGTCTATTAGGGTAGCTATCTAATCCCTGCTGTAGACACCTGTTTAGGCACATTTCCATTGAAAATGTTCTGACAACCTACATTCCCAAGTTCTACTTTTGAACAAGATCAGCTTACTCAAATGCTCAATCATGATGGTTTCTGACTTTATGCTTGCACAACCATCAATGGCTTTCAAATAATTTCATGTACCCAATTTCACTGAGAAGGTTTGCATAAACTCATAGTTTTGTTTTCAGGTAACCTGTGTGTACATAGACACCAACACTGTCAGTTTCACACCTTAAGTAATCATTAGACCATGTGTCTACACTATTTATATCCACAAATACTTAATGTTAAGATAACTATGTGTTAACAGTTATTACTGAATTTGTCTGTCAGGCAAGATAAGAATGGCAAGACTCAGGCTATGGCTTTAGATATCTTGAATGCATTTGACAGTTTGATATGTTGACCTTGTTCACAAGCTCAAGGGCTATGGCATCTCTGATCGAATATTTGATTTAATCCATTCATTTTTAACAAATTGTGTAATGAAAATTGTGTAGAAAGGCTATGCTTCTAGATCTTTTCACATTAATGCGGGGATCCCCCAGGGCTCTATCCTTGGACCTATGTTACTTCTTATCTTCATCAATGACCCTCCTGATGTCATCAGTTCACAAGTAGGTATTTATGTTGATGGCACAACTATTTACTCCTCTTTTGATAGTATGTACAATAGGTCTGCCAAAATTAAATTGGCAGGTACTGTTGAAAATTATTTCCAATCAGTTGTTAACTGGGACAAGAAATAGCTTGTAAATTTTAATGCCTCCAAAATGAAAATGCTATCTTTTAATCACCATAGAGAATCACTTTTGCCTTTAATCAGCATGCCTGATGCTAACCAGGAGAGCAGCTCATTGTGCCTTTTTGGTTGCATGGTTTCCCTGACATGAAGTGGAGTGATTATATTGAATCAATTGCTAGATCTATTGCTTGAAAAATTGGTTCATTGTGTTGTGCAAGACAATTTTTCTCGTTAAAATCCATTTTGCACATTTATATTTCTACCTTTCTTTCCAGGAATTCAATATTACTTTCAGATCTGGTACTCCTGATGTATATCTCAAGATTTCTTGACTTGATTTATTATCTCACCATATGATGTGACTTCCCTTTGTCTTTTCTATAAATATTTTCATGGTAGCTGTTCTAAAGAGCTTTCTTCCTTGGTACTTCAACTGCATAAATTTAAGTGTACTACTAGATTGGCAACTAGGTCTCATTGTTTTACTGTTGAAGTAGCGAGATATAACCATAATTTCTATTCTAATAGTTTCTTTACTTGCACTTCTTGCCTGTGAAACTCTTTTCGGGTTTCTTGCTACCCTGCCACCTACAATCTTAAAAAAATTTGAATGCAGTGTCAGTTGCTATATTCTGTCTTTCTGTTAACTGTTGTTTTATTGTCCTTTCACATTGTCTTTTACTCCCAGTTACCCCCTTGCATTTTAGTGCTATTATTGATGAATGTTTAAAAATAAAACAAACTTCACAAAGTTACCTCTGCAACAAATCAAACATGCTGATATCTGAATCTGGGTCTCATGTTTCAACCACTCAGCCTAACTCAACTGAATACACTGATTGCATCTGTACAGAGGGGTAAGTCTCCCCACCACTACTACCAAATGGGGTTACTCATTTGCCATGAATGATGACCCCTGATGTCTGAAGATGGGATCTGGTGGCTGAGAAGGTGATGATCCTGGGTATTGAAAGAGCATTGGCTGCAACTCTCCACTTTGGCCCTTACTTGGGCTAGATAGGAGGTCAGAGAGGCTTGATCTGATCACTTTTATGTCAAGCCTTAATACTTCCACCAAAAACACTCAATCACACTTTCAATCCAAAGTCATACACTCCATCACATAATGTAACAAATAAACATACAGTTCAGCACAACAGTAAGTGAACTCTTAAGATAATATAAAAATGTGACACAATATTGTCAGCCCGGGGTCAAATCCTAGTTGCGGCGTGAAGCTGTGATACTTCTACCAGCGTTTTGGGTTTGACTCTTAGTCGCTGCCACCAATATGTGACCCAGTCGGTTGGCACTACCCAGCAGAATCCTTTGGTCAGGGTACCAACTGGGATGGTCAGTCAATTCTAATGGCTTCACACCAGATGCAACTGGTCTGACACCTGCTTCGTCATTCTCAGCTCACTTTCAATGATTGGTTACTGAAGTAACTACTATGATCTCAAGCCTAACCTACCCATGTTATGATTTGATCTTGGGTAGACG